TTGCTAAATCTGTTTTAGTCAAGGAGGTAATGCTCTAACATGCAGGTGTCCCCATCCAGAGACCATACTGTGTGTTTGCATTCTTATGTTCATGCTGCTTTATCTTAACAATAATGACAAGAATTTGAAGAGTAAATTTTAGGAATGTGTTGTGCAGGTGATATGATGATAAGAAATATATATATATATATTTTTTTTTAGTTCAATATGGTACAGATTTTCATTTGTCTCATCAGTGAATGTTTTTCTCAGAGATGATAGAACAATGTTAGCTGGTATATAACCATCACCATGCAAGCCTGAATGGCTTCTGTGGTGTATACCTTTTTGGTGAAGCCAAAAGCTACTGCTTACATTGCAGACAGAAATGGTTTGCTTCCAACTAGTCTTGGTGCCGTTAATGTATACCACACACAAAATATATTTGACAGCAAGTTATGTACCCAAAAAAGTGGATGTCAAAGAGAAGGTGCTGAAAAGAAGAATGCATAATACATTTTTCATTCATAAGATGAACGTGTTGACAAGATTTGACAGTCCAATTGTATCAAAGTCTTTGCGTGTTTCATGTGTATTTGGCTTTTAAAGAGCTTTTTAAAAATAGAAGCATCTGACATTTTATTTGAACTCTGAAAAGCTCTCATGGTGTTTAACATGTCATCCCTTTAACCTAGCTTTTGAAGCTTCCTTAAAGGAGAAGGAAAAAAATAAAAAAGGTCCAGATGTTTACAATTGTAATGGGGAGACATTTAGTAGATTCTGTGTATGTTTTTGTGGCTTTATATAAGGTGCTAAAATGCGGTGGTAGCTAATGCGAATTATTCCTGGAGGCATAGACAATCACCGTTGTAGCAGGGTTTACAAGGGATTTTCAGCAGCCTCACTTAGCATATTATTTTCCTAAAATATTTTTTCAGGTTTTGCATGTTTACATTCATTTGTGTTTTAAATATGTAAGACTTATAGCTGAAGGCAGGCAGGCTCCTAGATTATTGCTTGCGGGGCAAATGGTATTGTTGCAATTTTCCTGCATACAGTATGTTATATCCATGATACCTGAAGGACATAGTCTTGTGCTAGGCATCCCACTGAAAGCCATTAAGAGCTTCCCACTGTAACATAAGTGAACAAATGGACAGAGTAATAAAGGGAAATGTTGTGTTAATATTGTGACAATGACAAACAGTAGTAATCTACCCACTCTTTCATCTTCAGGGAGAGATGGCAACAGGTTCAGAAAGGAGTTGAATTGGTGGGAAAAGGTGTGAAGATTCTTAGTGTGCTTTTGGGATAATACAGCCTTTTCAAGGGTTATCCCGGTGATGACCAAAGATATGAACTGGGAACCAAAAGAGCCCTGGGAACCAGTTTCAATAAAAAACAATCTTCTGTAGTATACCTTGCAGTGTCCCCTATCGTACTATCTACATTTCCTATTTATTCCTAATGTTAGGAGCAAGCTTCTTACTGTGTAAGCACAGCTCCTCATCTAAAAGAGTTTATGACTTGGACTGTGCTAAATATTCACATTGAAGAAGACAGGAATGTTACCTTGCTTCCTGTGATGTGTCAGTCATACAGTAATCTGATTTGATTCTGAACACTCAATATGTAATAAAGATGGGTTGCAAAAGGATTTATTTTTCCCCCTAGCTGAAGTATGTATCCCCCAGACAGTGGGACAGTTATGTTAGCTGAGTTACTGCTCATCTGTACTGAGACAATATATTACCGTAACATTTTCTTAAACGGCGTAGATCAAAGCATTAGAGCTTTTCCAGAGGATCACAGCCATTAAAGACTTTCACTTTTTGCTGGAGGAAGCAGGCCCTGCTTGTTCAATAGTTTCCTGTCAGGCTGTACGGGTGTTCTGGGATGTGTTTCAAAAGAGGACAATGCTCTGAAAAGTTCTTGGTTTTCAGAGTGTCAGCTGAGGTCAAGATCCTTGGAAACTTGTATTCCCGTGGGAAGCAGGGCACTGTTAGGAACAGCAAAGTTTGAGTACGGGGGTCTTGTACGTTCAAGAACAACTTTCAGAAACTTTACATGGAGCATTGTCGTGTCATGTCGTAAAGAATAAGAGATTCCTACCAGCATACAAAGCATTCAACTGGCATTCAAAATGCTCTCCTTTTTAAATGGACATGAATGATATGATACCCAGCTCCTGCCCTCATGCCTTCTTATTCACAGTTGATTATGGAAACTGAGAAATGCAGCGTCTCCATGAAGATGGCATCCTCGGAGGATGTGAACGAGGTGCTGGCACACATTGGGACCTGCCTCAGGAAGATATTCCCTGGACTCTCGCCAGTGTAAGTGTCTTTTAGGGCGCATCTAGCTGCAACAGATTGTGTGGAAAGGGTGACAAGCCATCACTTTTTGTCCGTGGGTGTCCCCACCCTGACCTCAGAAACGCACTGAGGCTGTGAGAAACACCTTAAGGCAAGCACTAAGCTTTTATGCAGGTATATGACAGAACCAGGAGGCAGTGCAGAGCATAGGTAGGCTATGCATGCTCTCCGTAGGGTCAAAAGAGCCTTCATTTTGAGGGGGTGATGCAGGTATTTGGTGTCTTAAGCTTTCATTTTACCTTGTTGCCTCTCCAACCTCAGTTATAGCTTAGGTTCTGGCTTTTTATTGTAATTTACTTCTTTCCTCATAAGCAGCTATGATATTCAGTGGGGTTTTTTGTTTTGTTTTTTTCCCCAGAAGTAAAATTTGAGTTGGGAGAGGAGGGAAAAGTTCTGTTTACTTTCAGTGTCGGTGAAATGATGCACATGATTTGGAGCCTTATTCTTCAAAACTGAGCCCTAGGCAGTCTTGTCATATACTTCCTGTGGTGTAACTGGCTCCTTGGATCATGCATCTCCTTCTCTAGCTTTTTTGCTCTGCTTCTTTATACATTGTTCTTGTCGTTGTGTTTTTTTCTTGTACCTGTACCTCTGAATTTTATTATGTTGCAGCAATTCTCATTATTTTTTCTTCATTTTATTTTATTTCTTCTCTCTATCCTTGTCTCATCTTCATCGCTCTCTACCAGATCATGCAGCTCTACTAGTAGTCTCTTCAGTTCCTGTTTTTCAGCAATATTAGAGAAAATGGACTGTTGAAAAGAATTTTCCAGGACACACTGATCTTTCTAAGTGATCTTTTTTAATAGACATTAGATGTGAATGGTCAGGCTAAATTTACATGTTTTATTTTGGGTGCACGTCTTTATTATTCACCTTTCCTGTAGGTGGTGTGGGAAATCAAGATCTGACTGGCAGGTATTTTGGTTTGGTTTGGTTTTTTTACTTCCAGTTTATCTCTGTGGCGGTATTATTAACTGTCTCAGCAGAGATCAAGCTCTTCCTTCAACAAGCACACATACAAGTGAAAATTTGTGAGCAGGTTTGCCATAAAACCTCAGTAATGTGAGAAATGCAGGCAAAAAGAGTAGAGTGAAGAGGGCTGCAAGGCTGTGCGTGTTTGGGCTTCTGTGAAGGCCTGGAGACCTATGCATACTTTCTTTGGGCTTTCTTGACAACATTGCTGGAGCATTTAGTGTAGCTGTATGGAGAGCTTGGTTCCCGGAAAAGAAATCAAACTTTTTGCTCTCCTCTCAGATGGCAGTACTTTCTGAAATGAAGGCATTGGAGTTACGCAGATCATATAAGACCAGAACAGGCAAAAAGGGAGGAAAGAGGTTTCTCCCATTAATAGCTTTTATTAATTCTTTCCCTCTGTTTAATGGAATTCTGCAGTTTATGAGGTAGTCCTATCATTCAGAAAAACAGATTGTTTCAGTTCTTAAAATGTAGGAAGGGACTGTGGTTTTGTTAGAACACAACCAAATATCTAGAGTGCAGCCTAGAGGTCACACGTAGCTACTCAGCATGCTCTGCGGCCCTTCACACTACAGTGCTCTCACTGCATAAAAGCACTGTATAAACAGCAGTGGTTTCAGGGTAACCAGTAATACCACGTCTCTCCCCTTTTTTGGACATCAATGTGTTAGTCGAGGGCCACAAGTCTCTTCAGCTTGAACGATCCTGTCATAGAAAAAGGCTCAGTTGCTCCAGGAGTCACATGGTTAATCATTAGAAAGAAAGAAGAGACAAATAAATGTTACTCCTGCTGGGCAGCATCACGGTGTATGACTTAGGCAGAGAAGTGAGTTGTACTAAAGATGGTAATTCTTCCTGTACAGTCATTTAAAATCATACTTGAAATAAAGAGGATTTATGAATTTAAAAATACTTTCAAAGTCATGAATGATTTTTTTCTTTTTCTCCCCCTCTGTTGCATCTAGGAGAATTCTGAAAAAAGTAACTATGGAGCCTTCAGAAAGACTGGCCAATCTCCAGGCCCTGTGGGACAGTCAGACAGTGGCAGAACTTGGACCTTGTGGTGAGAATGAATTTAAAGGCTCAAATAATGAAAAAGGCTGGAATTGCAGTGTCAGGAAGCTTAATTCTATTTCTGGCAGAAGCTTGTAAAGGTGTAATTAGTTTTAAGGTGTAATTAGTATGGAGCAGACTTCTGATTGGTAGGTGAAAGCACTATTTTAAGCTTTCTTGCAACCTGCTGGGCGAAGATAGGCTAGTCTCAGTTTCTTTCAGCAGCACAATGGACAGCCTTCTGAGAGAAAAAGAGAGTGAGTTTTGAAAGACTAGATCTTTAAGTATAAGTATTAAAGTATCCTTTTAGATGTTTGCTTGTTTTACTATTATGTTGAATAGTGTCTTGGGTTGTTTTTAGGAGGCTTTTCACAGATGTATGCCTGTGTGTGTGATTGGCTTGGGTTTTCCTACAG